TAAAGTTAATAAAGAAAATTAGAGCGCCACACGCGCCCCACGATGTAATACATCGGGGATAGTTAAAAAAAAAAAAAGAAAATACAATGCTAGAAAAAAACTAATTTTTAATGATACCACATCTGAGTCCTTATCTTCTTCTTTATCTGCATCTGGGTTTGACTTTTAATTGTCTTAGCTATGAAGTAAATATCTCTGACAATGATGATAAAGATTTTACTATAAATATAGTAAAAGCAAAAAAGCATAGTTAGTTCTTATCATAAATTTGAAAGGTCTTACTTAATCTGAGAATTGTCCAATTTTTCTGTAATTTACTATAACATAGTTTTATGCAGAAGAAGTATTATTGAGGATTGTGTTAAAGTACTTGATCAGTGATTGTCATAGCATGAGCTAAATCCTTTGCCCCATATACTACTATAGCATATACAGCCCCTATTTTATGTAAATAACAAGAAATTAAATTATAGTCTTTTAAGAATCTTTTGAACTATTTTGCTTCTGGCTTACCTGGGTTGCCCATTTAATCAAAAGAAATAGTATTCTGAATCTAGGTAAGCAATTTCTTAGCTTGTTCTTGATTCTTCTCCATAGATCTTAATTTTCAAAGAGTATCTATCTGACTTCAGTTCTTTGCATAGTCTATCACTCTAGCATCTGTAATGTATAAAGATGTAAGTTTAGCAGGGCAGATACAAAGCATTATCATAATATCTGCAAGAGCTTGTAAGTTGAGTAAAGTAAATGTATTATAACTATCCAATCTTTCTTTGACCAATTCTAATATAAAGCAGTCTGAATAATCAATTTTCTCAAACTCCTTAACAAATATTCATTGATTCTTCTGAATTTCGTTAACATCTTTTGTAATATCAGAGAATTTTGTGGCTTTGCTTATTTGGGATGAAGCACCAAGATTTCTTAATTCTTTTCTGAGTCGTGATAACTGAGAAGAACCAGCATTAGCATTTAATGCTAATAAGGCTAAGGCATAAGCTTTAGCTCTTATATTCCTAATACTAAGCTTGTTCTGTAAAAATCGATATGCCATCTCTTCAATAGTTTCTTTCTTTAATTCTTGCAGGATTGAAATAAGATTTTGATATCTATTAGAAGTTGTAAGATTTATAGTTTTAGTTTTACCACTTCTCTGATTGGGTATCAATATACTTACCTGTTTACTGCTAAATTTAAAGCTATCCTGAAGGTGTCTGCATGCCTGATTCTGCTTTCTATCATTAGTAAAATTCTCGAGAAACTCTGAAGTATATTGACCAAGTTTTGATATATTCATCTTTGAGGTAAGTTTATATTTCTTAATGATTTTTGTTGCAATAGCTAACATTGCTAGATTTTATAGTAGGTCAATTAGTTTATGAGCAATTCTTTAGGTTATATATACTATAAAAATATTTTTTTAAATTGAAATTAATTACATTTTTTTCTCCTATACCTAGAAAAAAAAGGTTATATATATCTATAGGATAACCAGGACATCGATTTAAAATTTACTAATACATAGGATATAATGAAAAAAATTTATAACCTTGAAGTTGTGATTTAGGCTAAATTAAGATTTACAATTTATTTTTATTTTTTATAATGCTTGGAATAGATTCTGATATGTTTCTATACTTATGGACCATTTCTTGTAAATATTGGGTCTATTTTCTATTATATCAATTGGTGGTATCATAGCTGGATGAGATAGGGCACATAAAAAGTTCATCTGCTCTATATAATAATAATCTATTTTATCTGGTAATTGTAGAAATTCAGCTAAATCTTTTACGTATCTAAAGCCATTGTGCATTATTCTGCAAAATATTGACCCATTGTGGTCAATCTTTCTTTTGGTTAATAAGTTGACTACTTTTTGGAGCATTTCTATTAAGTATATAGTATATATAGTATCAATATATGTTCAATTATATTATTACAAAATATTTTGAAAAAGTTTAAATTGATTTTTATATATTATATATGAAAATATATTAAAATTTATACATAATTTTATAGATTATAAGAGGTTATAATTAATAATTTGAATAGACTATAAGAAGACAGGATTTAAATTAGTTTTATATTAAATATATTTTTATAAAAAGTAAAACGAGTTTTATATATTATATATTAAAATACTTTGAATGGGAAATTCAACCTATCAATACTTTAAAAAAGATAGTTCAAGGCAAACAACCTGTCCATATATTAAAAGAGATGGTTCAATTTGTAGAAAAGGTTGTTGGCAAAACATAGGGTGCTTATTACACTAGAAATTATATGATAGAAATATAACAAAAATTCCTTGTGGAATTTGTGAAAAACGAACAAGTTTTGGGACAGGGTATTGTCTTAAACACACGAAGAAGGTTTATTTTTGATTGGTATAAGAGACAAAAGGCACAAAGAATAGAAGAGAAGAATAATTGTATAAATTCTGATATTAAGCATCACAAAAATGGTATTCATAATAAGATATTTTTTACAAGTATCAATTTTAAGTAACACAAAAACCCTCTTTGTAAGATATATCATGGATTCTAAATACCTGTTTTAAATAATATCAAACAATTCTTGATGCAACTATATATCAGAACTGAAAGCGATCTCTAATTTATCAGATAAGAGTTTACTATATCCAAAACATATATCCTTACTATTTTTATAAAATTGACCTTCATCTGTTTGGTATGGTAGCAATTTTGAAGTGCTTTCTTTATCGAATAGACCTACTAGATAATAATGGGTTTGTTTATTGTTAGTAGCTTTAAACTTTATCCCATAAGTTGTGGAAAGTGCTAAATTTAATAAACCAAGTTTTGCTTTATTTGATTTTAAACCAGGTTTTTTAGCACTACAAGACATGTTTGTATTATCAAAAACTTGGGCCATTTTTGGTACTAAATCTTGAAGATATTTCATAGACTTAGATGATTCTAAACACAATTTAACAATATCAGCTGTATATCTATTTCAATTATCAATATCTTTAACAAGTGTACACATCTTCAATAATTCTAGACAAATTTGATGTTTCTCAGCTTAAGTGACAGTTGTGAGTTTATCATTTCTAAAATCTTCATATGTAATAGCCTCAACAGCTGTCTCATTATTAATACCAGCATCATGTAATTTTCAGAAAGCTATAAACCACTTCATATAGTTGGGATTACTATATTCTGCAATAAACTCCTCAGTTAAAGATTTAGATAAATGCTTATAACACTCTGTTATATAGTATTTCCTTAAAGCATGTATTTCATTTAAACTTTTTTTGAAGCTGTTTTCAAGATGCTCAGCCATTTCATGATTGAGAATATTGGCATTAGCAATATCTGAAATCTCTTCTGCTTTAACAACAGAGGAATACACTCTTACTGCTTTTGATAATGATGCATCATTATTTTCAGATTTAGAGATTGACTTCATTATAGAAACTATTATATCTGTCTTTTTAAGAAAATCAACCATTCTTTAACAAAACAGCCGTTGAGATCAAAATTTTTCTAACATAAAGGCTATTCATAATTGAATGGTTGGTACATTTTTATTTTTAATAATAGTCTCGATATTTGGAAATATTGCTCTATTCTAAAGTTCTTTGGAAAGACATTCATGTTTTGCTTCTATTAACTATTAAAACAACTCCTCTTCTGTGGTTGGGACTCTAGATGCCCTTTGTTGGATATAATATATATAATTCTTAATGCATCACATACAGAATAACATCTGATTCATTCTAGTATTAGTTTCTATATGGCTAGTAAACAAACAAAATACTTACTCAAATTTAGAGTGATACAAGAAACTTCTATTTTTAATGTACTGGTGTATGCAACAAGGTTCACTTCTTTCCATACTTCTTCTACATTTTTAAAATCTTAAGTTTTCTCTACAGAATTAGACCCATCATGATATTCTTTAATATGTAGTTCTGGGAAATTATTTCTAAAGTCACAAACAATACCTTGTACATCTCTTCTTTTATGACAGATAAGTGATGCACTTCTTCACTCTTCAAAAGGTAATGATGACATTTGTTTACTCCAATCCTATAACTCAGTTAATACAGTTTCTCTATTAGGGGCCAAGCAGAATGTTTTATTTTTTTGGAATTGATATATATTATGAATTACTGAAAATGTTTTATTGGGTTGAAGTGTTTTAATTCATTCAATATTATGATCAGTAAGATCATTATCTAATGCAATTATTCAACTTGCATTATAAATCAATTCAAAGAAATTGGAAAGAGATAAGTATGCACTCTTAAAACAACTTCCAGTTTGAGCAATAATTGATACTATTTTATCTAATATTAATATATAAGGAGTTTTTGAACACTTGTATTTTTTATAACATTAACATTTATCTGTTACTTAATGCAAACTCTCTACTTGACATACCACTCTTTGATGTTTTGATAGGTGTATAGGACCATTGATATCACAATATAATTCAAGATTAAGTCTTGTAGTAATAGTATTAAAATAAGAATGTCATGTTGACATTACAAGCATGCTTACATTTTGGGGAGTATTTAATTTTTCTAAAGCATATGTTTTTCCTGTCCTCCAAGGTGATCCTATATAGATATCTGGTATTTCTGATAAAGTTTTTATATATTAATCTTTATATGCCATTGTAGTAGTTAAAGAATTATTAATATTTTAATATTAGGATGGTATGTTCAAAAAGGGTTTTGGAAACTTAGAGCTCTTTATTTTATGAGAAACAGGTGGTATGATATTATTTTTATTTTATTGCTAGATTTTTTCTGCAATAAATGAGTCATTGAAAATTTCTTCTGATTCATCATGATTTTGCTAAAAACATTTTACAATAAATGAACTATTACCATATGCATGACCAAATCACTGCTAATTCTTGTCATGTATGTAATTGCATAGTAGACATTCTAGATATGTTTTTTAATTGAAATATACATACTATTGAGAATTTTTTTCTTCAATATCCCAACTATCAAGATAATTAAAATACTTCTGTAAAACTAGATTCACATATTTTTTTAATGCATCTTGACTCTTGATTATTTTTTCCTGATTATTTATTTTTATACTAAGTATACAGGGCCTTATTTCGAATCTTGAACTAGTAGTGGTTGAACTCTAATGTTATTGAGATCATTCCATCCATTATCTAGTTAGAATTGAAGTATGCACTTCATACGATTGTTTTTTGACAAACTGATAAGACAAAGATTAAAATTTTGGCCAGGCAATTTTATATCAATAAACTTATTATACTTTTTTCCTATTAGCTTATATACCAATTCTGTAAATTCTTTGAGTTCTAGATAATTAATAAGTAGAGTTGGAATATATAAGAGGTGATAACTGTATTTATTATCATCAGATAATGTAGCAATTACTAATCTTTTAAAAATCTCTTCCCAACTACAATTAAGAATTATATATAGCACTTTTATAAAGAAAACACAGATTCAAATAAAAATGTCTCTTGCCTTTACTTTCTTAGCTTCTATATTCCTAATGGAGTGTCAATATCTATTACAGATCTTAAAGCTCATTGTCTGTTAATATATTTATGTACTCTAGAGACTTCATATACTTCAAATATATTGTCTATAACAGAAAACTTTTTATATTTATTCTGTTCTACCTAGATAACTAATTTATCTGCTAACTCCTCTCTTTTATATGCATCAAGTAGACTGATTCCTTCTTTTACTCTATAATTAGGTAAGAGATAATCACACAGATGTATATCCTCCAATAAACCTTTATTATTTGATATATCTCTGGCAGGTGAGGAAGCAATTTCATAAATTTTATTTAGCAAATCTTTTTGTGTAAATTTATTATTGAATCTTTCTTGCCTTTTGGAATATATGGGGCTCACTTACTTTGTGAAATATGTCATATTAGATATTAGTTCTTCTACTTTAAGAGGTTGAGATATTGGAGACTCAATAGTATTTGTTTCATTATCTGATTCATAATCAGAACCATAGTTATTGCAATTCTCTGATTCAGTTTTAGATATATTATCACTATAAACATCTAAGTTATTTGAATAGTCATCAGTTTTTCCACCCCATACTGCATTTGCTGTGCGCTTTGTTTACTCATTTTTGGTATTTTGTTTTTTATTAGTATGTATTAATCTTTGTTCGATTATATTATTATAATATAGTTTGGAAAAGTTTAAATTAATTTTTTTTCTTGCCTGGTAAGAGATGTTAAAAAAAGATATATCAAGTTTTAGTAAGATGAATGAAGAGAATTGTGGTCTCAATTAGTGAATTACTTTGGGTATATAACTTTGGTAATAGATTATAAGAGGTAGCTAACTTCAATAATATATTATAATAATTATGGGAAAAGGCTATCTATTCCTGAAGTATGTTTTCTAGTATGTTTTTATAACATTTATTTAATAACATATTTCAGTATGTTTTCAGAGTAGCTATCTTCAGTAATATATTATAATAATTATGAAAGATAGCTACTTATTTTATTGGTATGTTTTCGGGTATGTGATTATAGTAGCTAACTTCAGTAATATATTATAAGAAAAATGAAGTTGGCTATTTATTTTTTTGATAGGTTTCTGGATATATTTTTGTATATATATCAGGGTAGCTAACTTCAGTAATATATTATAATAATTATAAGAAAAGGCTATCTATTTTAATGTATGTTTTCAGGTATATGCTTGGGGTATATAAGTTCAGTAATATCACAACACTGATGACAGTATCACATTTCTATCATCACAATACTGACAACAGAAATTACTAAACCAGCAAATAATATGTCACATATAGAAGTAATGATGTGAACATAAAATTGTCATAATTTTTATAGGTTGTAAGATACCCAAGTGTAATGATAAACTTATGAACTAATCATCACTTGAATAATGATGAACTTGTGAACTAATCGTCACTCAAATGATAATGAACTCATAAACTAATTATCACTTGAATGACAGAGCAAATACTAATATATCTCTGATGATGCAAGTATGAATTATTCATTACTTAAATGATGACAGGCATATGATCCCATCATCAGACATAACTTAGATTAAGTATAAATAATATAATTATGTTATTTTCACTAAACTCTACAAGAGTAAACTCTTGTCAATAGTTTATAGAGTAGATAGATAGTTAATAAGAGAAGCTTTCTAAGTCTTACTAGCAGATGTTATATTTTAAAATATATAATAGCTTAGAAATCAGTTTAAAAAAAGTATAATACTGCTCAGACAGTATATTGGTTAAGTATATAAAGTTTAGTAGTAATTAAATAGTTAACAGACAGATAATTAAAGGTTTAAATAAATAATCTCCTAATAGATTATAGGTATAGTATTTAATATAGAACTCTAAAGTAAACTACTTAAAATAGACAACTAAAAGTTGTATATGTAGCTAGTTATACTCTTATTTCTATAAAAATAGTATAAACTAATTTTAATGTATTAACTGTCATAAAGTATAACCTTTAATAAAAAAAATAAAAAAAAGAATAATTTAAGAATTTAATATATATTTGCACTAATACTGTAATAATTTAATTTTATTAAAAAGTTTATTTAATATATAAAAAAAATTTAAAAATTTAATATTATGATAAAAAATTTAAAATTTATATAATAATGTAAATTAATATGATATACAGAATATAAATTTATATGATATGCAGATATATTAAATAATTGCTATTTTTAGTTTAAGAAATTTTTTTTTTTTATTTATTAAAGCTGATGTTATTGGTAACTACCACCTTTATTTGTGTTTTTGGTTAATGCATTACATAAGACTTGTATAAGATAAGTGTGCAACTAGCCACATGTGTAACTTTTGGTTACCTATTTAAGTAGTCCACCCAAGGGTTCTACACTAGCTGCCATGTCTGTAACCTACTAGAAGGGTACCTATTTAAATACTCTGATCCTTATATTACATCTAGACAAGTAATACCTGGTTATCATACAACTAAGTGCCATCTAATCCAACATTTAGCTTCCTTTTTTATACATCTGCCAAGCTGTTAAATATTTCAGAATATGTTACCTGACTGTAAGGTTTCAGAGTACTTTCTTGTTAACTACCTACCTACTCTACAAAATATTAACAAGGCTAGTCCTTGTAGAGTTCACCCAAACCCCAACACCTACTTCACAGCATATCCCTAGTACTTATAGTATACCTCTGCTTTGATCTCAGACTCCTAATCCAGATAGCCTAGTAGAACTGTAACCTGTCCTTAGTATATCAAGTCAGCTCAATATCCTTTTCCTTCAGTTCAGTTCCAGTGACCTGGTTGGTGATACCCCTCACCTGAGATTCTTGTCTGTCTGGATTCTCCACATTGGTATCTGTTTTCTAGATCTAGCCTTTACAGTGGTACTATTGAAGATCTGTGTTATCTTTTTACTTAGGTCTTTCCAAGTGGGCTTCAGTTTCCCAGTTCTATAGATTTACATGGCCATAAAGACTTATTTTAGGTTTGCACTGCCTGGTACTAGTTTGCATTCCTCTGTGTAACTAAAGTTACACAGATGCTTGTGACCTGCCAGTCATGCTGGTGTGACCATAGTTACAGGTATTCTATCCCAACTGATCGACAGAATGCCATTACTATAATATCGTCTATGTATTACATAAGTGATTATTTAAATTTTTGTTGGCAGTGGGTTTTGAACTCACAACCTACCACTTGGAGGGTTGACAACTTATCCACTTCATTAAGTCACCACACCCCTTGGTTTGAGAATTTCTAATTATCAGTCTGACTAATTTAATTAAATAACAACCTATGCTATATCTCAAAAACCTACTAAGTAAACATGATTGGATACTCTAAGTAAAAATATTTAAAACTCTTAAAAACCTCACAAGAATTAAAATCAGGACCTTATATTTAATCTATATTATATTATATAAAAAAATCTTTATAACTACACTCTAACCCTAAATTTTAGCAACTAGTAATAATTATTAGTAGTAATATGTCGATAAATCACATGTTAATAGTATAGGCTAATATTTAATAAAATCAGCCAAGCTGATTTCAACAAAATCTCTTTTGGTTTATACAAAATTCAATTTAATATATGTAGATAATCCCCTTATATTTTTATACTGTCATCAAATATCAAATGCGAATAAAAAAAGACTAAAACAAATAAAAAATTTCGGGTGGGTCAGGTCGGGTTAATTCTCAACCCGAAACCGACCCGAAACTTTCTGATCAAAATTTTCTAACCCGAACCCGAACCGATTCGAAGCACTACACATAACTAAAGAAAAATTGTGCATTAGAAAACTTTATAAGCTTAGACAATAATTTTTTAAATGAATATGAATAATTATGCATAAAAGCATTTAAAGTCTAATACTTTTGATTTGTGAATTCATAACTATTTTTATATAAATAAGTTTAGTTAGAATAAAAATATTTGAGTGCTGTCAAAAATAAATTATGAAATTGATAATAATCTATTTTTAGATATATGGGTTTTCCTTTGGCAGCACTCATTTAACAAGCATTCTTACTGGTGTCTAATATCACTTTTATTTTTTTTCATCTTTATTTCGTCTAATTAGTGTTACAGAAAATAATTTTTAATGAATTAAAATTATCCCCTTCCAACATATTTCCAATCTTTATTATATTCGGTCCACAAAGTTTTAAGCAAACTTTTCCCAGCATAATCCAAAGTAACCATAATCATATCCCTTTCACGTTTATCACACAAATCCAAAAGTGCATAAACACCTGGTCTTAAACTCTCTTTAATTGCTGGTTCTAAAAATCCTTCTGTCTGTACTTTTAAATACTCTGCTATTAAACATGGTACATGTTTAATAAACGGTCGCGTTGAAATTACTTTTTTCTTATAAGATTTGTTTAATGAATCTTTTTGTGATATCATTGACAATAATCTTGTAAATAAATTTGCACTTGATATTGGTAATGGATTCTTGAGACGTATGTCCCATATTGTTACATATCGACGACTTTGTAATTCACTTTTTTGTTTTATACCTTCAAGAGATTTGAAACAGTGAAACATCGATTGTATGATAATGATATAGGCTGGAAGTGTTGAGTAAAGGATTTCTCGACAATGTATCAAGATTTTTAATAGTAAGTGACATACTTCTTCAAAGAGATTTTGATAACCTTTTTCGTCCGTTTCAAAGTTTGTCTTTGAAGATGTTAATGAAATCACGGTTGATAGGATTAAACCAATATCAATTGACCGAAACGAAAACACCTATATTTATGATATACAATCGTCAATTATTTTGCAGGATGCATATAATATTGTTCATTACATTAAAATTATATTATAAATTACCCTGCGAGAAACTAAGAATGACAAAATGGTTAAAATGCATATTGCATTTTGTGGTTGGTCAATAATCTCCCCTAAATTGCATAATCTAGCTAGTATATTAGAAAGTTTTCTTTGTAAGCAACATAGCTGCTCTAATGATAATTAAAATTATATCAGTTAAAAGTTAAATAGATAAACGCGTATATAACATCTATTTAAACTCACCATGTGTGGAACTACGAAGAAATATATCAACCAAGTGTATGAGAAATTTCAAATCTTTATTCATGCTACTTTTTTGTGTTGAGAAAGGTAATTCTTCTAATCTATTAATAATATTATTTGAAAATTCTTCATATTTTTCAATTGATAACTTTGATATAAAAATGCCAAAACCACTATCCAATTCGCTCGAAGATTGACCTTGCGCTCCTATGATAATATAGTAAATTGTTTAAATACGAATAATGTTAATTTGTATAAATTGTAGCTACAAAATTATACCCTAATTTTGGGCAATTTATCATTATTAAGATTCTGATTTGATATTCATATTATTACCTTTATCACATAAAATAGACATTGTTTCCCATATAAATGATATAAATTTATGAAATGTTTGCAAATTTATTTTCAATTCAATAATTGGAATAAAATCCATCACAATTAACATGATTGTCTCGCATTTTTTCATCGTTTCTTTATCATAAAGTGATTTGTCTTGGCACACGGTGTTGATTGATGCTGCACGTAATAATGCAATTATAATGGAAAAAAACTTTTGCAACAATGAAATCATAATAAAAGCTGTATAGATTGTGTAAATGATTAATATAATTAGTTAATTTATGTAAAAAAATATCTTTAATATATTATTACACAAACCCTGGGCATTCACATTTTGTTGTTGAATAGAGTTCAAATTATAATACTTTAGCGACATCAAATATGCTTTCAGCACTTCTTCTAAATAAGTGATTTGTCTTAGAATAACTTGAATTCCCATAAAATTATCAACTTTTTGAAGCTTCTGCAACGATTCATCTAAATAAAATGTAATGAATTTTAATGAACTCTTCTCAACTTTTTGTTGTAACGTCCCAAACGCTTCATGTATCCCCTGGTCACGCGTTACATGTATAGATCTGTAAATATGAAATTAGTAATGATAAATATATTAGAACTTCAAATATTATCAGAAAATACTCACTTGCGAGATTCAGAAAACTCTATCCCAAGTTTTAAAAAATCAGAAATAAATTTCCAAATATCACTTGTCACCAAGTCAAAAATCAGGTATTCCTGGTCAAAGGAACGATCCAAGTGAACAGAATATGTGGAAATAATAATGTTCAAGTAATCAACAATTTTAAAATTTTCATTTTCTCGATATCTAGCAAACATGTGACTATCATATTGTAAAGAACAAAATTTATCAGAATCATGACATTTACAAGTCATTACTAATGTATAGCATACCTTGTCATAATTATTATAGTTTCATTGGTTATCTGCACCAAATTGATAAATTGCTTGTCTATACCTTCCTGTTGAAATTCACTAGTTGTTTTTATATGATTTTTACAGGTATATATGGATGATATCCACCACATAACATATGATTGGTTTTTCCTCTGCAAAGTTTATAATCTTTGAGAAATATAACATAATATTATATTGTTCACTATGAAAGCATATTATTATCATACCAGTAAATCATCTTGTTTAGTTGTTGCAAGAAAAAATTTACGTATTAAACCTCTACAAAGAATAGCACTTTTCAAAAGATTCATAGTTATATCACTTTGTTGACTTTGTGACAAAAGTATCACTTTATCTACTAGCAATATTAATGCAGATAGACAATTAACTTCCCATCTATCAAAATATTCTAAGGGAAATAAGTGGAGTAGTGTGACAAGACGATGTATTTTTTGAATGCTTTCATCTGTTAAAAAATTGTTGGACCATGACTGTTTATTTGATGAAGATGAAAAACAGAGAAATATAGAATCTAGCATCACTGATGAGGTCTGTTGATGCCACTTTGATACAATTTCAATAATCATGTCCATTTCCTTGCTATCATCATCAGATTCTATCATATTTTCATCACATACTTTTTTGAAAACTGATGATAATTCTTCTAAATAAACTTTTAGAAAAATATCTGAAATAAAAAAATTGCAATAATTTATATATAACTTATATCAAACTACAGTAAACTAATGCCAAGTAATTAAATAAATACCTCTCAAAGGCTTTAGCTCAAAAAATTCTGCAGAATGCAAAACCTGAATGTATATATTTTCCATAGATATTTCACCATTATTTATGCCCATAGAATATGTAACAAATCCTTTAACTATAAATCTCATTATTGATTCAAGCTCTTGTATTTGACAATTATTACTAAAGAAAACGTGCGGATATAAAATTAACAAATTGGCTAAATATAATTAATGTATAAATATGATTTTGCCAACACTCACACCACAACATCCAACCACTCTCTAATAATAAGCATAGAATTCGAGATTGCAAAGTTTTCTTTTGTCATATCAACCAAATACCCTGTCCACGAGATTTCAGCGTTTTTAGGATAATCGAGAGTAGAAAGAACAATAGATATATATTTATGAATTCTGTCAGCATCATTTTTTAGTTCTTCACTTGTAGTATTTTGAAGTTTAATTGTGGGTATTGAACGATATACATATTGAAGTCGAACCATATTCTAATTCAGGTTATAATATCTTTAGTATTAAATAGTAATAAATTATTAAATATTTTAAATATTATAAGATCTTACCAAAAAAAGATTCACTTTTGGGTCAATTGATGAAACGCCATCCAGAACTGAAGTAAATTCCGGTGTCACTGTTTTTTCCCAATACAAAGGTGATATATCTACCAAACAATAATGTAAGTTAAGTGCAGCATATATCATAATATCTCTATTATATTCATTCTTGTCATTAAGTTTGGTAGATAGTACAGGAAAAATGAACAAATCAAATAGTGATTGGAATGTTTTTTCTATCTCATCCCTAGAAACTGATGTAATTCTTAAGGCCCGCAAAAATCGAATGATAAAGATGATTCGCGGTTCTAGTTGATTCGTTTTTGGTAAAGGAGTAACACCTTTGTCCTCTAGTTTCCTCCTTTTGTTTTGTGTTTTCATATCAGTTTTCTGATCAAGAAAATTAGACAAATATGTTTCACATAGTTCAGTAGTAAATAAATTGATAAGTTCACATGCTTGAGTCATTGTCATGTAATTGGTAATTTTATTCGCGAATCTTGACAAGATAAATTGATAACGTTAAATAATGAATGAATTCATGTTAAAAATAAAGGATGGACATAATTCATACTCATCCAAATGCTCTCTAGAAAACAATGGATTTTTCAAGATTATATTAGCATCATCTGGAATGTCATTAAGAGCAGACCAAAAACTTTTGATATAAAAATCCATTTCGTGAGATTTAGAGTATGTGGCTAACAAAGTTTTTCCCAGGGTCAAGCATGACTCAGTATAGGGTTGCTGAATGCAGATAATAACTTATGAGCAAAGAAGTATTAATCAGCAGCAACAAATCCACAATTAAAAATACCTGAAGCATCAAACTGCATAATGATTTAACATGTGATTGCATGACTCTGTGCTCCAGTTTCAATAAGAGGTCAAATCCTTGGAATGTAACGTTTTTAATTTCATTTTCTATACAGCAAACTTTGGAATATTACTCAAAATATAATAATCGAATTAAAATCTGAGCACTTATATAATTAACCTGCCTTGTATGTTATTTGCCTCAAAAATTAAAAAATCGGCAACTTTTTGCAAAAATTCCAATTGCCGAGAAGATATCTCATCACTCTTAATTTGATATACATTATATTGAGAAACTTTTGACAATAAATCTACGTGTAATGAAAACACTAGCTTTAAGTGATTCAGATCTTTTAACTTTGACAAATCTTCAGAAATCAACGTCCATGATTCTGAAAAAAAATTGAATTCTAATGTTCTTCTCTTATCTATGGCAGCTTTAACTGATTCACTTTGGGCAGCACCAAGAGTATATTCTAAGTGTTTGCGTAATTCTTCAACAAAATATCCATACCAATAAGGAATAACTTCCAAAACTAATATTTTGGGACAAGTTATTAAAGAAACACCTATAAATAGATTTAAAAAACTAAATATTACATAAACGTACCACTTAGTTGATAACGCTTTTTATCATCATTAGAATTTATAATCTCACGGCATTTATCAAATAACTGATCATGATGATTAATTAAGCCTTTTCCATCATTCCTTTTGTCAGACACATCTTTATTTGACTCAGGTAGAGTAGCATATTCTATTATATGATCTTGTTGGAAAAGTCCATGTCTAAAAATGTTATCGATTGACTTTATAATTTTACTAAATATGATATAGTCACTATCTTCTTGTTGCCCTGATGATTGGAGATGAAATACAAAGGAACGAACATGAAGAAGTTTATTAAACATTTTTCCGTTAAGCACGTTATATGCCTTGTTCATAGAAAATAAATTATTAACGTTTCATAATTAATTAATATAAAAAAGTAATATTCTATTTACCTTTTTTGGATTTGAACTTTTTACCAGACTGCTTTCTAAAAATGAAATGACTTTTGAAAATAGCTCAAATCGTAAAAAAACGATTTTAGATTGTTTATACTCAATGTTCATTTCATAATTGTCATAAGAGGTATTTATGGTCATGATGAGATTACAGGCGTTTAAAGTTAATGTAACTATTTGATCTATTGGCGGCCTGAAGGTGGTAGACTTTTTTGTTGAAAGTTTTTGAAAACAGACATCAACAGTTTCCAGCAAATTCTCTATCAAAACATCAGTATCATAATTATTTATTGACTCCAATGATGATATGTAGTCAACTACACTGGAAAATATAGGAATCAAAGGCAATTTATATAAAGGTGATGGTATAGAAGAATCACTAGTCTTTTCCAATGCATCTTTAAACAATTTCCAATAACTCAAATTCAAATATGGGGTTTCTCCAAGCCTTAAAAAAGAAAGTTTTTAAAATGTAATTTGATCATAAAACATTCACAATTAAATTGTAAATATAATTACCGGGCTTCAGAAAATCCAGTTGATTTAATCAAAGTTGAACAAACCCATTCTGACAAGAATCCTACTTTATTTAGAAAGCATATATCAGTCGAATTCCACACACGGGTGGCAATAATAACCTTTTCTGGATATGAAATTTTTGAATCCCTCAATACACGAAATATAGCCTCGGAAGTATTCAAAATTTCTGTCATTTTGTTAATAGCAGTTTGTCGAACAGATTTTTAATGGTAACGATAAAAAATTTTTGATTTTTATCGAAATCGTCAGATTGGGCACCACTATCGTTACATTTCCCAAATATGGAAAATGTGTCACATGTAGATTAGCCAATCAAATCGTAGATTTTTAAAAAGATAAAAATGAAGCGAAATTAAAGAAATATAATTAAAGCTTATATTTAAAGTTCAGAATAAATGCCGCCAGATACTTTTATAACATAGATAAAATATGCCTTTATTTATTTAGATACATTTTTAACCGATTTACCATTATCATTAACAAACTCATCATAATCTCTTATGACGTATCTTACATATTCAACTATATATCTAATCTAAAACTTGAATATCTCGTACTATATAGCTATTTGTAAAAATACTCTATTATCTGGTTTTAAATTTAATGTACCAGCTTCTGGGCCCCGTAGGGGACCATAAATGGTACGTTAAATTTAAAGCCAGATAAGTAAGTTATTGGTGCGTAGTATTCAATAACGGTTTTATCCGATAACTTACGACGACTGGACCATCAAAATAACTCGAGTTATTCTGATAGTCCGATGATAGTAAGCTATCGGATAAAATTTCTTATTACACACCTATGCTATTAAAACAACTTTCGATATAGGTATAAACACATGTATATTATAAACTTCTCTTCGTATATAAGCTTTTATAGGCTAAAAAAAAATAAACTCTAAAAATTAATTATACAACGTTATTGTGACAGGAATATGTTGTAGGGCAAGCGAAAGCATCAAGTTTACTTAGAATGATAAATCCCCTTTACCAAGGGGTTAAAGTGTAAAACGTATACGTAAAACAATTTTTTATCAATTGAAAATCTCGTGTAACATGGACGGTCCTACCTCTAGGGAGTTTCATAATGAAAATAAGTGGGAGTTTAAAAGACCCTACTTCTATTTCCGACTTAGTGAACTAAATAGACGCACACGTTAATAAAATGAATAAGTATCACCCGTAAATGATTATGCAAATAAGTCTATTCGTTAAGATTTATGTACCACATATTCCAACGTAAATACGTCACTTATTTTATCTGAAATTGGATGCCAAATCATTAATTATAAAACCCCCTAATACTTCTTTTAAAAGCTCGGAAATAACTTATTATGAAACAAGAGTAAATTTAACAGATTAATTAATGTATTTTCTTCACCTGATAACATTTCTTGATTCCACAACTTTTTTTTTGCAACTTGATTGGTCGATTTGCTGAAACTCAAGATATGATTTGTTGACAATTAATATCGGAATAATCTACAGTCGTTCCTGTTACTTTGGTTTAAATTTAAAAGCGACTTAAGTCGATTCTAAATTTGATACTGTATAATCAATAAGTTAATAGCAATTTAAGTTCGATACCTGATACTGTAATAAGTGCGTAATTTTTTTTTTTTTAAACTTAAGCAGTCACGCTAGTACTTTATTAAGATTTTGAAATTACATTTGCAATTATATAAATATTCTTAACATCAAAGTCCAGCATCACCTGGTCATCCTATTGGTACTTAAGTGCAACCTGCTGCATTACTTCAAGTAGAAGTAAGTTGCTTGTCTGATTACTTAAAGTCCATAATGAAAGGGTCTTCTCCCTTTCATGACAAGTTTTAAAATTGTCTTTTGTATTTCTTTTTCTATTTGTTTTCTTTTTTCTTTCATTTTTTCTTTTCTTTTTTCTATTTTTTGTTGGTTTGGTTTTCCTTTTTTGTTTGGTACTATTTTCTTCTTTTCTCTTCTTCTTTTTGTTCTACCTGTTATTCTTTCATTTTTCTCTTATTTGTTAATTTTTTCATATTAGATTCTCCATACTTGTTCATAAAATGTATCCTAGATCATTCTTGTTATTATGTTCATAAATTGTTATTTTGATTTTGTATTTAAGAGTTGATTCAATCTGTCTTGTATTTCTTTTGAAATAAGATTTTTAATTAATATCTCTCTTATTTTTATTTCTTTTTTTTTGTTTTCTTAAAGAGTGTTGTGTATAACATATATGAAGAGACTTAAACTTTTTCTTCTTTTTTCAACATCACAATAGTTACTTTCTGGATTCTTTTCTAAAGATTTTTATATCTCTTACATACTATCGAATATGCTTGTGTTTTTTTCAACTTGTCTTAGTATATTTGACATTCTGTTGTTGTATATATATCTGGTCTTCTTCTATTAAATTCTTCTAATATTAGAAATTTATTCATTATATACTTTATAAATATATTTCTTTTGGTACTACTTCTTATTATACAATGTACTTCTTTAGTTATCTTCAGTTTTTTAAAAAAATATGTCTAGTCATAAATTATAACTTCTAATTCTGATTCTAGTTCTTTAATTGCTTTTATTTCTTTTCATTCTGCTCTAATCTTGCATTCATTATTAACTTACAAAATAGTTTTGTTAATATATCAGTACATTTGTTTTCTCACTTTAGGTAGTATTCTATCTCTTCACAACTGATTTTTTCGATCTGTATTATTCTTTTATTTGTTGCATCTTTTTTTACTAGACTATCAGTTTTATCATTCCATCTATTTTTACTGTAACTTTTAATCTTAAAAAACTTTATCTAAATAGTTTTTATCATAATAAGATCTCTAATTTTCATTATTTATATTGTGTTCTTTTTCTTAAGAATCTTATTTTTGTCTGCTTGTTCTAAACTTTTACTAATATTCCTTATTGCAGCATTGCTATCTGTATATACTTCTATTCACTTTTATAAGTGTGTAATCAATTTATGTAACTATGATTAAATAAATTACATTTTTATGATAAATTGTCAAGATAATATATAAGTTTTTACTTTTCTTTTTTCTTGTTTCATTTTTCATTCTTTGCAATATTCTTTATAAATTACATTTTTACTTTGTAATGCATACAAAGAATTGCTTTTCAAATATTTTAGCAAAAAGTCAGCAAATAGGTGACACAAAACTTTTATAACATGTGAAAATATTGATTTTTGCATTAAGATTTTACAAGATCCAGCAAATATAATAATTAGGGATGCGAAAGATTGAACTTATTAAATTTACTTGTATCTATTGAGTTTCACAACTTGGATCATATTTCTTCAACATTCATAAGTGTTCTAGGTGTATCTACTATACAATCATCTTCACAAGTCTCTTCACAAGTCTCTTCACAAGTAGGGAATATAAAATGCAATTGCAAAAATGCGTGTGATAAAAATCTCTTAAAGAAGAACAAAATAAAAATGAACACTAGTTAGATATATAGATGATAAACCAAATTCTATCAGTAATTAGGTTTTATCAAAATATTACCATAAATTTTAATATTGAAAACGACTTTACTCCCAAGCTGTCTAAACTCCCTCAACAAAAAAGAAATGACTAAAAACCATTAAAACAAATTTTAAACCAATCGACAAATGGTTAATGTTTAGAAAAAAATTGAAAATGCAAGAAAACCTGGATGGAAAAACTAAAATAGTTTTATTGGGAATGATATTATCAAGATTGATATTTCTGCATTCTATTGGAAATTTCGCTTGCTCTAGTTCATTACTTCTGCATTCTATTGGAAATTTCACTTGCTCTAGTTCATTACTTATTGCACTATCAAATATTTTAATATTAAAATTTATTAATTATTATAAAAATATGTTCAAAATTTTTATTTAAAAGTATATATATTTTTAATACATATAGTTCTACTGTTTAGTGCTGCTTACAGTATCTCCTGGAAATAACATCCTACCATATAAAGTGCCTTTTTTCCACCAATAAAATCACTAGATTCGTGAATACTGTATTTTATAGGTGAAACCATCCTCTCTTGTACAATTTTACAACTTTATATGTTGGCTTTTGAATATTTTATTTGAGCAAATTTTGCTCTTATATCATAGTACTATTATGCTAATACCATATTGATAACAATAAATGACTATTAATATTAAAAATATCTAGATAAAAGCAGCATAGCAGGCTTTCATTGTGATTGGCTGATTTTTGAAGATCATCCCATGATATTGCAAAATATGATTGGTTAAGATGAAGATATGCTAAATTGTACAAAATAATTTTATATAAGACTAAATTGGTCTTAATAAAAGCATTACTACAAAGATCTCACATTTAAGAGTCTAAGACCTTAAGCCTAGCACAAACAAGATCCCACAAACCAGGATCTTATTAAATAAATACACGAATTAAATCAATTTTAATCGAAATACTAGTTTTATTGATGTCAAACTATCTTAACTTCAATAACCTTATTTAATAATCTTAAACGTGATATTACGTTCTAATCTCGAGATTCACAAACTTATATTTCAACACAGAACACAGCATGTTACTAAACTATTCCACTAAACTATTCCACTGGTAGTGTCTGTTTTGGAATCATAAATAACTCATAATAAGATAAATTAGCGAAAATAACTCAAAAAACAAATTACTAAACTCTATAATAGATTCGTATGTTATATTTATGACTTATTTGCTAAATTGAAACGTTCAAACGTACCTCTCATCTAACTTCTGAATTACCTCGCCAATTACCAAATTACTTTGGTATGCTGTAGAGCCGTAAGTGTATTTCTTAAATTTTTATATCGTAACACCTGCGAATTCATTTTGTGGCAGCAAATCGTTACTTTAATAAGACTTTCTTATAATGAGATGATCTACAAAATCGGCCAATCATAATTAAAGCCCGCTATGCTGATAAAAGCTGGTAACGGTAAGTATTTTACAGGGAAGAGTGGTTTAGCCCATAAAATACGGAGTATGATTCAATTTTCAAAGTGGAATTCTTGAATAAGACCCGGATATTATAGGTGGTAAACCTGTTATCCTCTTTCCTAAAACTTCGCATTATTGGTTTTCAGGATAGAAATTATCCAGTATCAAAGCATTATGGCTACTTTTTCTGCATGTCTTTATACACATTTAAGTCGCTGAAGTTAAGGCTAATAAAAT